CAGTTCCATTGAGGACTACACGTTGAGTGCGGTTGGTCAGCCAGTTACGAATCCATCTGGTGGTGATAATGAAATGGGGTTTGTGGGGGAATTGTTGGAATTGTTTTCTTTCTCTAGAAGATCCACGGTTCCAGCCCTGAGATTGTAGATTGTAGATAAAGATTGTAGATAAATTTATTTATAGGCCGCCCTTTTCCCTGAGGGGACTCAGGGCGGCTTACAACGTATAGGGAAGGGAGTACACACAATGACATATAAAGACAGTACGTAATTAAAAATAGAAGCAACATTCATTCATCATTCGGGAGGGGACGGATTATAATCTTTAACCCCAGGCCTGGCGGGATAGCCAGATCTTGATCAATGTTCTGTATAAGTGGGTATATATTTGAGCTGTATATCTGAGTTTTTCTATGTTTATAAAAATAAACTTTGTATATCTTGAGTTTTCTGTGCTTATAAAAATTGTCTTTGAATTACAGATTTTTTTTGTAATTCTCCATTAATAGTCAATGAATGTGCCTTTACATGTAGTCTTATGCATGATGGCACAGTTGTGTTAGGCAGAATGTGTGATTTCCATTCCATTTAGTTTATATTAGCTTAATTTCTCAAATTAGGCAGTTAATGCTGATTCAAATGCTGGTTTTTTTGGAAATGGAAATGTTAAATAGTTCTATAGATACGTAGAAGGTGGTCAGTGATTACAAATATTATGCTTATGACAAAATACTAAATGTTTGTGTGTAAAGTCCAATTCATTTGTTATTTAAAAATCAATATTCTTAGAATTCTGCTTTAAGTGCCTCTGAGGATCTTCATTATATTTCAGCTCAAAAAAGGAATTTTATGACCAGTGGTAATGCTTAACACTCAGTTAAGAAAAAAAAAAATCATTGTTGCTAGCCATTTAAGGTTGACCATAATAGGAAGCCACATTTATAAATGCTAAAACTGCTTTTATTATAAGGCTACAGTAACTTCTTGAAAGCATAGATATGCTTACTTGATCCTTCCCTTTATCTTCATGAGAATTATAGAGGATCCTGTCTGAGGTATTTTCCCATATTTCATTTCCCCCCTGGATTTAAAGTTATTTTATCTGACATCGTAGTTGTTTTTTCTTCCTTCCATTCCTCAAGCTTCTGTCTTCCGTCTGTTACATTAGTAGAAGATTTATTTATGTACCCTATTTTTCGGAGTAAAAGACGCACCTTTTCCTCCCCCCAAAAGAGGGTGAAAATTTGGGTGCATCTTGTACACTGAATGTAGCTCCACCCACCAGAGGCCAAAAATGTGAGGCATGGAGGCAGCGATGGTGTGTGGCAATCCCTGCAGCCTGGAACAGCTGATTGGGAGTATTCTCCCAGTTGGTGGAGATAGCAGCCAGACTGGGTTTTTACTCTGTCTAGAATCCAATTGGACTGAGTCTACAATCTGTGATGTCATCGTGCATTGGTGGCTCCACCCAGCTTTAGACTCAGTATAATTAGGACTAGATGTGAGAATTGGTCTCTCCTCAATTTTTTTCCAAAACGCTTCTTAATTGGAATTTTTCAAAAATATTTTTCCTTTAAATTGGTTAGGAACCTAGTCTGACTGATCTCCTCCAACATCGGATCGAGCAGGGGACTTCCCAGTGGTCCTGGGCCAAGTGGACAGGCCTTTGGCGATGAGGCTAAAGGGAAGCAACACCCACGAGTTCGCTCCGGAGCGCTTCTTACCATCTGCCGGCCGGCGCACGTACTTCCCTAGCCTCTCTCCTGGCTCACGGGCAAAGGCCAGAGGCATCAAATAGTGCTGCCTCTTCGATTGCTAACTTTCTATTCCTGCTTTGGCATAATTCCTTGGGCACGGCTCCATAGCAGGCCACTACAGTGGTTCCTGCTCCCCCATCAGAAATCTAACAGGAAATGCTCCCCTCATCGGGTCCTAGTTCCCCAGGAAGTGAAAAGATCTCTGGACTGGTGGAGATCCCTGCCATGTCGCAGGGGACACCGTTCAGGGAGCCGACACGCCTCACCCTAACGACCAATGCCAGCCTGGTAGGATGGGGGCACACTTGCAGAACTTTATAGCCTAGGGCCAGTGGTCAGCAAATGAGCGCCAAAATAGCATAAACTGGCTCGAATTGCAGGCCGTCCAATTAGTCCTATTACACTTTCAGGACTTTGTCAGGGATGCCCACATATTAGTCTTGACCGACAACACAACCACCAAAGCTCATGTCAATTGTCAGGAGGGGACCCAATCCTGGGCTCTCATGAGGGAGGCCAAGCCAATCTGTTATTCTCTGGGTGGAATCCCATGTAGCATCCCTCAAAGCAGAACACATCTCAGGGGTCCTGAATGTCCAAGCAGATTGGCTCAGCCAATATGCACTGAAAAAAGTGAGTTGTGACTGTTTTTCACACTTATGTCCATTGCAGCATCCCCAAGGTCAGTGAACAAACTTCAGATGCTTGGCAACTGGTTCATATTTATGATTATTGCAGTGTCCTGTGGTCATATGATCCCCTTTTGTGACCTTCTGACCAACAAAGTCAATGGGGAAGGTAGATTCACTTAACAACTGTATTACTAACTTAACAACTACAGTGACTCACTTAACGACTCAGCAAGAAAGTGGGGAAAAACTACCTAACAAATGTCTTGTTTAGCAACAGACATTTTGGGCTCAATTGGAGTTTTAAGTTGAGGACTACCTTTATTAGGCTTATGTACAGTCTCTGAGGGCACAATGGCTCAGTGGTTAAAGATGCTGAGTTTGTTAGCTGGAAAACAGACAACCAGGTTCAAGACCTGAGCATCATAGGGTGAGCTCCCATTCTTGCCCCAACTCCAGCCCACCTAGCAGTTTGAAAGCATGCAAATGCAAGTAGATAAATAGGTGCCACTTTAGTGGGAAGGTAACAGCATTCTGTGTGCGCTGGACTGGGTCCCTCAGCTAAAAAACAGAGATAAGCATTGGCCCCAAGAGTGGACATGACAGGACAGGACAGGAAACCTTTACCTTGTACCTCTTTAGTAATTTAACTTCTACAGAAACTCCATTCCGATCAAGAATTCTTGTTTGAAATCAATTCTAGGTCAAGAATAATGAAATTGGTTTGTTAAAATAACTAGAACTTTTAAACAAGAATCTTTAATTGAAAGATGACACCGAAGCTGAATTCTGTCAAAGTAAAAATAGTCACTCTTTAGACAGTGTAAAAGTTGCCATTTTAAAGACACATGAAACTGTATCACATAGGAATAAGCTTTGGTTCAGCATTGTAAATGAACTGTAACCATTCTGTGTTAATCATCTTGGTCAAATGTTGAAATAATTTTACTGATTCTTTGCCAAATACATACATTACAATTATTATTACCATTGATATTTACAATTGAATGTTGTTGGTTTGGAGAATAATATAAATGAATCAAATTACTAATAAAATTGACATGTTTCAGAAGGCTCAGAGCAATGGCCCTGAAAAACAAGAAAAAGAAGGAGTGATCCAAAACTTCAAGAGGACCCTATCAAAGAAAGAAAAAAAAGAAAAAAAGAGGCGAGAAAAAGAAGCACAGCAACAAACTTTAGACAATCATGGGCCATTTCATGGAGATGATATGTGAGTCTCGAATCATAAAATTACAAGAATTGTTAAAATATTTTTTAAAAAATTACTTTACTGATTGGTTCTTACCACATAACTTATTGATAAAAAGTTTTTTATGTGCAGAACAGCACTTCTATTCATAAATACTTTTGCCAAGCATCTGAATTTTGATCACATGATCATGGGGATGCTGCAACAGTTGTAAATGTGAAGAACTGTCAGTTCTGTTGTAACTTCAAATGGTCATTAAACAAATGGTTGTAAGTTGAGGACTACCCATACTTTTGATTCTTTTAATATGTAACCAGAGATTAAGAATTATGAGTGCCTTTTCCAAGTTTCCACGTGTGCTCTTTTTTTAATTAAGTTTTTTTATTTTTATTTTTCAAAACAAACACAACACAAAAAATCCTCTTTCTTTACATACTCTAGAAAGTGTATCAGTTGGTTACAAAAAGTTTTCGTGCATTTCTTTCACAGTCACCCATGATTCATATTAATTCTAGTATTTTAAATCAAATATATTTATACATATTACCATCATCCTACCCCCATTCTCGTTTGACTGTTTAAACGTCCTTCATCATAAAACATACCAAAACTCAAGACATAACCACATACATGTGTGTTCTTAAGATGCAAAAAAAAAACCATGTGTTATCCTCATCTGCCAATATTCTTGGAATTACTTTAAGCAGAATTTGGGAGGGAAATGGAAAGCAAACAGGTTTCCTTTTATCTCTTGGTGACCCATTTTATATTGCTAGAATCCTAGAATTATTTGTCACCAAAAATTATAATGTTGTAGAAACTGGTTGATAAGATGATAAGCTGGTTTGGTGTATAGATAACTGGCTTTGTCCATTAATAACTACAATAAATCACTGCTTATCTGACCAGTGGATAAAGTACCTTTAAATAACAGGGGCTTGGGCTGTTGACTTCACATTGATGTTTATATTAATGTGAATATTACATACAATATCACACACACACACACTTCAGTAGAGAAAGTATATGTTTTATATTACTGTTTTTAAGGGAAACAAATATGTACTTGCATATTTTGAATAATTCTTGAAATTTCTTTTGCCAGTGAAAACTCACGTCTTGCAGCAGAAGTCTACAAAGATATGCCTGAGACCAGTTTCACTCGAACAATATCCAACCCAGAAGTGGTAATGAAACGGCGGAGACAACAGAAGCTAGAAAAAAGAATGCAAGAATTTCGGAGTTCTGATGGCAGGCCAGATTCAGGTGGAAGTTTAGATTAAAAACAAGGAATTTATTTGATGTTTGGATGTCTAGCAGGAGTATTCTATGGAATTTATGAAATAAGTCAAATCATATATGGTACATATAACTTAAATTAATAATTTATTTTAGGTGGAACACTAAGAATTTATGCAGATAGTTTGAAACCAAATATACCATACAAGACAATCCTACTGTCTACTACAGATACTGCAGATTTTGCAGTTATTGAGGCCCTGGAGAAGTACAGCCTAGAAAAGGAAAATCCCAAGGATTATTGTATTGCTCGTGTGAGTAAATTAATGAAAGAAAATAGTGTCAAACTAATTAACTTTCTATGAACATTTGCAGTCTTTCAATGCTATCTCATCTGAGTTTTATTTCTGCTATTTTACATTATTACTGACAAGAGAACACTTTTGTTTCTTAGCCAATACAGTGTTAACACAGTAAATGTTTTGTCTCTCTGATTTGATTTGGTTATTAGTAGTCAAGTAGTAATTTAAAATAAGAGTTATTCTGGACTGGTTAAATTATTAACTGATTTGTTTTTCTTTGCTATAATTTCTCCATGACTCCCAGAGCAACTTTAATAAAGCAACACAATGGAATAGACATATAAAAATAAATAAATTATTTTCAAGATAATTGTTTTGAAATGACCTTTATAAAGTTTTTACAGGATCCATGTTCAATTTGCGTTATGGAGGAGGTAGCTCTGTAGACATTAAGGAGTTGTACAAACACATTTATACTTAACAAAAAAGTAATTCATTTGCTTTCTCCATCTTTGTGCCTCTTTCCCCCTCTCAGAATCTTATACATTTCTCAGATGATCCCAAATATGAATTTTACTTTAACATGAGATATATAGGTAGGAAGAAGGACCTTACTGTTCTGTTTTACTTAGTAAAAAGATGCATAGTGCCCTCACCTGGGATTATTCTAAAGAGCTATTTCTCGACTGTCTGTTGATTGGTGTTCATCATACTTCAGCTATATTATATCTGTTCTCCTTTTTCTACTTTGTAATACTGAAACTTGGAAGTAAGAGTTATGCTTAAAACATTGTCCTTGAGTAGCAAATTAAAATGTAGCATAAGGGTGTAGATTGAAGCATGATATTATTACAAATAATATGGAAATTTTCTATGTTACTTATACCCTGCCTTTTCTTTAGGTCATGCTTCCTCCTGGTGCTCAACATTCTGATGATAGCGGTGCTAAAGAATCTATCCTTGATGATGACGAGTGTCCACTTCAAATATTCAGGGAATGGCCAAGTGATAAAGGTAACTTTAGTTTTTTAAAGTATGTATTGTAACTTAGTGACTATTTTGACACAAGTGAGTTGTTAGTGAGTTGTAAACAAATTGAAAGGGTCTGAGATTAGTGCCCAGACTTTGGATAAATAACAAAAGACTTTCTTGAAGCACCTGAATCTGAAATGAGATATTGTAAGTTCCTCAGTAACTGAACAGTCAAACAGTCCAAAGTGTTTATATGACTTAAAAATGAGAAGCACTGTATAGTGTAGTTTGTGTAGGCCCATTATGTAGTACTAAATAAAAATTGGTAGTACATCTGAATGGAATTGGATTTTGTAATGAAGCTGCATGTGATAGAGAATTAATTTTAATTTTGTAACTTATAATAGACAATATGACTGCTATTGGCTATTTAGTGTAATTAATTTATGTTTCTATTTTTGTAGGTCACATTCAAATGATCTGTTTATGATTCTATATTTTAGGAATATTAGTCTTTCAGTTAAAAAGACGGCCACCTGATTATGTCCCAAAGAAGCTGAAAAAGCAAGTTGATGTAAAACTATTAAAAGGAAAGGAAAGATCTGGTTATGGCTCTTCTCTTCCACCTGAGAAACTACCTTACCTGGTTGAACTAAGTCCAGGTAAGAATTGTATTATTAAAATGTTATTTGTGTTTGGAGTGATTGACTTTCAGAATTACTCTTGACAATTTCTGAGACTTCCAGTCTGGGGTGTATATATGTGATTTGCACACCTTGACAGAAAAGAAGACAGATAGGGGATATTATTTGTGTTTTTCTGTGTTAGCCAGAGAAAACCATTGGAGCTTTTTTGCATAATGTTAAATATTTTAGATAAACTGTATCTACACAGAACCAGAATAAGAATTGTTACACATATTCGGTCTACAATCTTTGTGTTTCTGAAGTATAGCAATAGTGAAATAATTTCCTTAAATCTAGTGGACAGGCCACTGTCCACTGGAGGGCATCACATGATCCAGTGTGCCCATGCCTTGCTGGGAAGCATCTTTAGTGCCTACAAAATGAGCTTGTGGGCCAAAAATGATTTGGAGACCGAAGGCATGACTCAGAGAGCTACATGCATGCATTTATTTTACAGTTTTATGCTCTAGTTGTCTAATCAAATATTTTGTTCATAATCTAAATACTGGGATACTTTCAAAGATTATCATCAGAAGGAAAACAGATATTTCTAAGATACTCTAAGTTGTACAAGAATTCATATAGTGGGAATAAGTAGTGAAATATGTACAGTAAAAGAACTTTCTCTTTTATAAAAGTTACTAGTTTCATACCCTTCTCCCCCATTATTTTATGTTTACATTTCACATGAACCATTGTAGAATAGAACATTGCTTTCAGATGCAGTCAACCATTATATTTTAGTCATTGTTTCATAAGATGCTACTTAAAATATTAAATTATTTCCTTTATAACATTAGAGCAGCATGTCACTTCTATACTAAATTCCTGCGTTTATAGTTTATTAATTGATAATTGATTGTACTCACTTATTTGTTCATGATCACTGATACGAACATAACTTTTAATTAAAGTGGAGCAAGTACCGTGTTTTGATTTATTGATTTAATGCTTGGTTTGTTGAAAGATGATTCTGAAGAACGATTCTATGAGTGTCATCAGGCATATTTGACATGGTTACAGCAGAAATGTGGCAGAACCCATTAAAAATGAAGGGATTAATTTTAAGGAGATAAGGGCAGGGGACTGAAAAGGGAAAGTGCATGAGAGATTCTATATGAATGATGTGGTCTTCATACCCTATATTTTAATAACCAAAGTACAGAATGATTCTTTTATAAAGCATTAAATATATAATGGTGCATAGTTTTAAAGATTATTGATACTATAGCAATAGCATTTAGACTTATATACCACTTCACAATGCTTTGCAGCCCTTTCTAAGTGGTTTACAGAGTCAGCATATTACCCCCAACAATCTCATTTTACCCACCTTAGAAGGATGGAAGGTTGAGTCAACCTTGAGCCTGTTAAGATTCGACCTGCCAAATTCAGGCAGCTGGCAATCAGCAGAGGTAGCCTGTAGTACTGCATTCAGGG